TTGGGTGGTCGTAGTCGCCGTCCATCTCCATGGGCGCGCCGCACCCAGCGTCGTCTGTGAGAAAGCGCATTCTTGCTTGATGAATGGCTTGTTGAAGAGTGACGAGTGCGAGCCGACGGCCGCAGACAGGCTTGCGTGACAACCATGTGTCTGTCTCCACCACGATAAAACACACAATATATCCAACAATGTGTATAAAACACTGTCGACACCAACAACGACAACGTGAACTGGTCGAATCAAAGAGCTCGCACGTGATGCTCGTGCACCGGTGATCGCTGGCTCGCACTCGCATCACAGGTACACGTGCGCTGCGTGGCGATGCGAGGTCGCATCGACACCATATTGTCTTCCAACGAGCGAGTATGCGATCACAATCTCTACTTTTGGTGGCAGATCGCTGCCCAGGCGAACAGGATGTGTCGTAGCGTGCGATATTACAGAAGTTATTAGCTAACGATGCATTGAGGCCTAGCGCTACGTATGCAAAGTCTTTGGTTTTAGATAACATGGTTGTACAACGACGTCACGACCACGACGCTTGAACGACCCAGCCTTCTCCGACGAGAGCGGATGCACTTTGCCGTGCAGAATTGTTGTTCTGCGTGCCTGGCTACAAAATATATTACGTCGAGCTACTTCGGACCAAGTCAAGAAAAAGATATTCCGACGGCGGGATGGGCACATGTTTAAAACTGGCGCCGTGTTTTCAACCGAAACGCACATCGCCGCATAGACACTGATGCGGAAAGCCCGCCGCACGAGACGACGACCACACTTCGGGCTCAGATGCAAACGTCTGAATGCGGTATTCACACCAGATTCTGGAGGTCCTACCGCGCACCGCGAGCGCTGCGACTCGATCTGACGAACCGCACTCTGGATCACGGCCATCGACACACGTTTGGCCACTGCACTCAATTCCACGCATCCCATTCTCTGGTTCAAATGCTGAGCGACGAAGCAGCCTGTGGCCCTAGCCAAAGCTTCAAAAACTTGTGCAAGTCCCGCTTGGCGAATCGCAGGTCGGCGGCATCTGCCTCTTGGTGGTCGCGTCGCACCCCGTCGTGCTCGCCGAGTACAATTGTCGCCATGGTGATTTTCGTTTTGCAACTTCTTTGGCATCGGTCTTGGCTTCGGCGGCTTTGACTCGAACGTGGTCGCGCTGGGCGACGACGACGCGCAGCAGCGCTTCTTCAGTTCCTTTTACCTGAGCATGAACGTCGGCACTCTCCTACGTGTACATCACCGCGTACGAAGCCTTCTACACCTGCCTTTCCTCGCTTCTCAAGAGCTGCGCGCAAGCACTCAACTTGTTTATGCTGTCCATGCGCGACATCCACGCATCGATTTGCACGCTCCTCTATACCCATTCCATCACTGACAGCCTCAACGACGGCCACCTCGAGTACACTTTGTCCATTGCCCTCGCGCTCGTCGCCAGTCTCGACGCCATCGGTCTTGAACGTACGCTGGACAAGATGGGCTTTGGTCAGACACCACCATCGAGAAATTGGTCGCGACGTCATGTCCTTGTGTTGATGAATATCGACGAGATTTACGCGTCCGAGTCGTTGTGGTCGGCGGCCTCTTCCTCGAGACGCGCCTTCTCTTCTTCGCGAAGCTTCTTGGCAATGTTAAAGACGCCTACAGTCGTCGTCAAGATAGGGTCTATGGATGCCAGATGTGTACCGTTGGTTTGCTTTTGGCAGTTGAAGCACAGAGACGTCTTCTTGTAGCGCTTGAGCGCACAAGCTTCGCAGAAGAAGTGCCCGCACCTAGCGGCGTACGGATGGAACAGAAGCGCAACGCAGGGACGTACAACGTCTCGACGGCCTTTGTAAACGGCTGGCGGCAGATCGTGCAAGCAAACTGGCCTTCGTCGTCATCACTCTTGATGACGTACTTGTCGTCGTCCGAGCCGTCCGAGTTGTACTCTAGGCAAACTGTTCAAAAAAGCTCTCTAGTCAGGTGACGCACCCAGCCCCGCGGCCAGCGCTTGCTTCTTCTTGCGCTCCTTCTCGTCCCACTCCTTGTCGATCTGCCAGCCCGACTTGTAGTCGCCACGGTCGTGCATAAACTTGCAGCTGTCTACGCACGACCAGCAAGAGTTCATGTCTAAAGATCGATGTCGTCCAGACCGCCAAAGCCGCAAAAGCCCGTCTCCTTGTAGTCCTTGCACACATCTGGCGCATAGTCAAAGCGGCAAATGGATCGGGCCCACGTCTGCGCGCGGATCGGACCTTGCGTGCTACGTCCTGTCGCATGAGCGGTCGGAGATGGAAGAATGCAACGTACCCCGTGTACTTGTTCATGCCGGCTTGCGACTCCTTCTTTGTCACATAATTCTTGTACCCGGCCTTGCCCTGGTAAAAGGTCCCGCTCATGTCGTTGACGTCGGCGTTGAGCTTGATGTTCTTCTCGAGGAGCGCGCGGGCGTCGCTAGCAGCATCGTCGCCGCATGAGGCCATGGTAGCGTTGCCGCAGAGACGTACCGGTCCTTCTCCGTGTCGATCTGCGACTCGTACGTAGCGTCGCC